AACAACGAAACCCTCGCCGGTCCCGACGCGCCGCGAACAACCGGGCTGGTAATGAACGCGGATCGATCGACACGCGCAAACGGAAATTATCGATTCTTTTCTGGTTTAATCTCGACGCGCCATTCAACCGCGCGGCGTATTACTCCGCTCGCGGAGCGCCGTGCGGGAATGTAATGCGGACGCTGTTTGCGTGGATCTATTGTTTATCGCCGATTGTGGTCGTCGTTTGTTCCGGCGATTTTTAGACGTTCGACTGCGCTTGCATTTCTCGCTAGACGTCGGGAAATATTGGGTGGTTTTTCTTGAAATTTACGTGGTAGGATTTAGGTGTAGTTCGAATTGTGGAAAGAATAATGAAGGATTGTGTATGATTGTTTAACTCGTAGCAGGAGATTGCCAGTTTGGTGCAATCTTGGTTGTATTTGAAATGTATCGTAATATAGAGCAAAATACATTGAAAGTACAAATGAAGTCACATTTTACGCAGTGAATGGGTTACAAGATTTGTCATTGTTATAAAGAGGAATATTGTGTAGAATGCTTAAAATTCTCATGGCAGTGGATGTGTTGAGTGGCAGTGATCGACATAAGGCGTTCAGGAAGTTCTGTTGAACGTGATTTACTCTGAAATTTGAACTGTTTGGAGGTGAAGGATAACTAACTTATAAATAATAAGTGACAATAACTGATCAATAAGTAATAGTGATGAATAATAGATATTAATCACGTATCACCTAAATAGTGATAGATAACACTCTTCACAATCATCATCCAGACACTAACACGTACCATCAACCGACAACCGACTCAATCAGAACTCAGAACGATCAGAAACTTCCAATCAACTCGGTCAATTAACGAGGAACACGACGTTCTCCGGTCCAACTTTAAATCAGAGGCCCCGGTGGGCGCGAGGAACGCGCGGGATTCGTCACGATCGCCCCGAAATCGGTGAGCCGGAGTGTTGCGCGGCCATTGATACGGACGCAGGCTCCCTAGCCGCCGGAAACACGGCTAAACAGGTGTTTGCGCCAGCTGCAGCCGCTCCCCGCGTCCCGTCGGTCTCTCCTCTCTCTATTTTTGTCCGGGCGTCTTTCGGTATTCCCTAAAACGCGCCGGTTATTCTCGGCGATGAAATTCCTGCCCCACGGATTTCCCTTCGAGAGGATAATGGCGGCCGCGCGTGCCGCGAGCAGGAAGTCCCCGCGCCCGAGGACATTTTCCAGTGATTTTTTTCTCTCTCGTTCATCCGGCCGCGAGCTAATCCGACGGTTGGATATTGCGGAAGGCAGAGCTGTTTATCGAGGATCGCGGGGATATTGAAATGAAAGAATAATTATCGCGATTGGAGTCGTTCGTCGGTATTAGTTTCTGATATTGCTTCTGCGTCGGAGCGACTGGTTCCTTTTATAGAAGCTGCATTGTCGATGTAATTCATTCGTGGAACCTCGCAAGGAGAATCTGTTTTAAAATCGTGTTTTATAGAACAATGGCAACATAGGTAAATAAAAGTTGTTCGGAAAGCGGAGAAAGCGGGATCGATTACCTCGATCGTTGGAAGGATTGATTCCGCAAAATGCAAATTACATTAGGATCTCTTCGGTTTTTCTGTTTCTTTGCAGCGTTGTTTCTCGCGTAGAGAACAATCGGCTATTCGACGTTGATCGTCGATAACTTGTTCTCAAAAATTCGACATTGCGTAAGGGTTCGTAGTGGAGAAACGATAGGATTCTCGGAAAAGTCGGAGCTGCGCGATCGCGGCGGCGCACCAGTATTCGCTAGCGAGCGACGCGTTGCGAATGGCAAGCGATGAAATCATCCGAGTAGGTGTACACCCGGGGAACGTAATAATTTTCATCCTACCGTAGTTGCACAAAAGTCGCCGGCAATGACGACACGTGTTCCGCGGATCGGAAATCGACGGGAACATGCTATCCGCCTTTCGTGGCATCATCGGGGAGCCGAGCAGTGTTATATTCGTGGATGATACTTCAGTATTCTCGGTAGTACTCTCGGTGACATATGCTTTAACATCGGTCATGTGAAGTCAGGACATTTGTAATCGATACGGGAGACTCTTATGCTCCTGTACGTGCATGAGTAAATCAGTTGTTATACGAGTTTCGTACGATGACAATATCGTTAGATCAGTAATGGCTGAGGAAGACGTCTGAAATGAATCGTTTCGAGTCGTTCGACGATGGCGTTGAATTTGAGGGAATTAATCATTGGGATGTGGACTTTTGGAAATTATTAATATTGAGGTATGGATTTAACTTTATTAATATTGAGATATGAACCTTTGGAAATTAATATCGAGGTATGAACTCTTCGGAATTGCTAATATTAAGCTATAGTCTTTTGGAAATTAGTAATATTAAGTTGTGGAGTTAAAATTATTGATATTGAGGTATGGACTTCTGGAAATTATTAATATTCAGATATGAACCATTGGAAATTACCAATATTGAGGTATGAACTCTTCGAAATTGCTAATATTAAGCTATAATCTTTTGGAAATCAGTAATATTAAGCTATGAACGTAAAATTATTAATATTGAGGTATGGACATCTGGAAATTATTAATATTGAGATATGAACCATTGGAAATTACCAATATCGATGTATCAATTCTTGGAAATTGCTAATATTAAGCTATAGTCTTTTGGAAATTAGTAATATTAAGCTATGGACCTAAAATTATTAATATTGAGATATGAATCATTGGAAATTACCAATATCGAGATACGAACTCTTCGAAATTCCTAACATTAAGCTATAGTCTTTCGAAAATCAGTAACATTAAGCTACCTTAAATTATTAATACTAAGCAATTCACTTTTCCTAATAACCACTTTCAACCGTAATCCTTCAAAACTGATTACTCTCATCTACAAACCCTAAAAGAAACCATCCAACTCCTAAAAACTACAAATCACTCAACTTCAACATGACACACCCCTCCCAATTAATCCCTCTGTCTATTCATCAATATTAAAATCTCAAAAAACCAACTAAAACTAAAGAATCCATTGTCCGATCTGTTTCAGCGTGGAGCGGGACCGGCTTCGGCAGCGGGAACGACAGGCCCGCGCGGCGATGTCGGTCCAGGCCGAACAGGCGGCTGCAGGAGGTGGTCCTGACACCAGACACCATCACCATGGCCACCACAACCACGCTCACCATCACGCTAATCCGCATGCAGTCGCCGCACTGCTGTTCCGCGCTCCCGTCAGGGTAAGTCTATCCACTTCTTGCTTCCCCGATCTTATTTTTGTATCGTTTACGAACACTCGCCCTCCCCGCTCCGCGCGCGCGACAAAAAAAACCTCCAGCAGCGTTTCGCCGGGAAACAGGATTAAAGGATCCCCCGGGACGTCGCAAGGGATGCTCCCGCCGGCGAGCTAATTCCGTGCCACGTAAATAAGGGCTGGTTTTTGCGGCGCTTGACACGCTTTTCGAAAATGTGTTACACTCTGTTAGCCGTTTCGGCGCCGTTGGATTGGAGGGATGATCTTGACGCGTATTTTCCGTTCAACCCTTATGTTAGCTGTGCAGACTCGAGGATTCGATTTTACGATTACCAGCAGATTCCAAATTATCACTTGAAGCTTCAGCTAAGATCGAAAGCAATAATCTAATCAAGTTCAAATACCGAGAGATTGATATGTAGTTGTTTTTCTTTTTCAATTACCTCTTTTGTGAGTTCACTCGTAATACTTATAATACTGAGATGTAACATCAGCGTGTCAAATAACTTACCTCTTCCTGGAAAACTTGAAGCTCGGTACTTACAAAATTTCTACCCTTTCAGTTTAGTTTGAAGAGTTTTTGGAAGTTTAACCCCTTGACCTATGATTTCTTTCTCAACTCTGATCGATACACTTGTATAAATTAAGTGATAGAACCGGTCGATTTCGATGTTCCACGTGTCGATACATTATATGACATTTGATATTGAATTCTAAACTTGATTATTTCGTTCGGTCGAATCAAATGGCGATTGAAGGGTTGAAAGTGAGTGATTAATTTAAGTAGTAAGTAAGGGTTGGACGTATCTTGACGTACGTATTAGTCAATGATTGAAATACGCCGCCAGTCATCGAGCTTTAATTACCGAAGTAATTCATCCTAGCGGTGAATAAACGTCAGGGCATTAAATTCATCAATCGTGAGCTCGTACAACGAATGGAACCGTAACTAATTCACCGCGGTGCAACATTGTTCGCGGGGAATCCAACGTTTACATCCTAATTCGAGCAATCAAAAATCCTCTTCATTAGATCGGAGGTCAGTTTACCGGAAGATAAAGAGGCTAATAAATCCCGCGTGAAATTTATGCCCCGATTCAATCGCATCCGGGCCCGCTCGCAATTACACGAATTTCGATTAACACGTTCAACGCCGGACGATCTCGCGCTGCTGAATAGCAAATGCACGCGACGCGAAAAATTTCACGTGAAATTATTCTTTCGGCATTCGCATTTAACGTCGAAATCTGCGAACGAATAACTTAATTATTCGGAGCGCCTGAACAATGAATCGTTAAATAATTCTCATAATTTCAACAAAATTTCAATACTTAAGAATTCAACGATTTCATATATCAATTGGCGTTAATTATTCCGTAACAATCAATTATTAAACAACTTCAATCACTCTGTTATACTTTTCTAATATTTACAACTTTCGTGCACAATTCATTGTTCCATCGAAAGAGTTCAAAATTACAAACAATCCAACTTTATAATGGCCGAGTTATAGCTAATTAGCCCTTTGCCCTCGAGAATATTTTTCTCAATAAATATTCATTATTTTCTGATGAACTGTCAATGATATTTTTTGCTATTATTATTGTTATATTATTTTCTGATGAAATATCAATGACATTTTTTTTCCAATTATTATCATTTATCAATGATAATTATTATTACTTCCCGATTCAATATCAATGATATTTTTTGCAATTAACATAAAGAAATACCTTGCATACATTAAACGACAGAACTATTCCAATATTCCATGTTCGTACATCATATAAAATTTGATACCGAATTTTCAATTTTACAATTTCCTTGTGTCAAATCAAATGGAGACCTCCCAAGTGCAAAGGGTTAGTAGAACACCGATCGAGTATCGACCAAAAATTCTCAATAGTCTCGTACTTTCATTTATGAAAACGAAACGCTGCTATCCACGTCGAATGCTCGCGTTACGTAATATATTTCTCGTTCCGGCAGGCGTTATTATATAAACCGGCAATTAACGGCTGATCCTTGGTTTATTAATGTCGCGGCAGGACGAGAAACGCGTTCGCGAGCGATATCGGTGAGCGATTCGCCTCGAAGATGCATCGGTTTCGCGCGCGGCACGATTCGCGTGACAGATGGCAGCGGATCAGTTTTCCGCTCGTTTGAATCTGTCTCCATCCCGTTCGTCAAGCGACTTTGTACACAATCTGATGGATCGCACTTACGGCTCCAAAGGCTGCGCGTGTTACGCGAATCTACTCGCGATTCGTCACGAAACGTTCGCTTCCTCTTCGTTAAATATTAAACGACAGTTTAAACCGCTGACAATCGCCTCGCATCTACGACACCGGGATTCGCTTGTCAGCGATCTGCTCTGTTCCTGCCCTGCACGTTCGCGGCTTCTACCTTTTGATTGATGACGGATTTACGACGCTGATGTTTCGATTAATTCGATGTTTGTTTTCTCTGTGTTTCTTGGCAGCTCACTGTTCCGTTTAATTGATGTTAATAGAAATTACCAGACGCGTCAACGGGATCTATTCTTGATTTCTTTTTGAAATTATTAAAAGGATAATATGTTTGTCTGAGAAATTATTAAGTTATATTTTATATTTTGTAGTGAGTATATGTTACATTTTGTTGAATGTTGAGAATATTGAAAGAAATGAATTATTCATACGGACATGGTTATTAAAGAAGTCATGAAGCAAAGTTGATAAGATTAGGAGCGATACGTGAAGTCGGACAAAATATTTACTAGTACTTCAGCGTTATTTACTTCGCCGCTTCTTGTTATCAGTAAAAATGTATCGTCATCGTTACGTGGATCGTTGCATGTATAACAACACCCGATAGATAGCGCTGGCTAGGACTATCACGCAGAATTTGAATGTTATGTGCCGTGTAATATCTGAAGGTCAGTTGTGCACGAATCTTGTTACGGTTCGAACCTTTAAAACTGTTTACAAAAGAAAAGAAGTTTCAATGCAGTGGGATCACAGGGTTCAGGAGAAAATAAAACTACTTGTGATTTGGTAATTATATCAAGGATGTAACGCGAGTTATATTTTTCAAACTTTTCAATTTAAACCCTGCTTAACTCTAAGAAACTTCACTCTAGTAATTATCACTATTTTCATGGATAATAACTTACCTACCCTAAATTATCAAAATTATCTAAATGGTATTTATTCTCTCTTATCTCATCACTGACAAATCTCTCATTAATTATTTATTAATAATTCACTTTGCTGTTAAACTCTCGAAATTGACTATCAAAGTTGGTTAACCACCAAAGTATTCAATCAAAGTATTACTCATCCATCAAAATATTCAAAGTATTATTTATTCATCAAAAGTATTCAAAGTATTACCCAACCATCAAAGTATTCAAAGTATTATTCAACCATCAAAGTATTCAATCAAAGTATTACTTAATCATCAAAGTATTCAAAGTATTATTCACCATCAAAGTATTCAATCAAAGTATTACTTAATTATCAAAGTATTCAAAGTATCATTCAATCATTAAAGGATTCAAAGTATCACTCAACCATCAAAGCATCCAAAGTATTATTCAACCATCAAAGTATTCAATCAAAGTATTACTTAATCATCAAAGTATTCAAAGTATTATTCACCATCAAAGTATTCAATCAAAGTATTACTCAACCATCAAACCATCCAAACTATCACTCAACCATCAAACCATCCAAAGTATCACTGAACCATCAAAGCATCCAAAGTATCACTCAACCACCAAAGCATCCAAACTATTACTCAACCATCAAACTACTCAAAGTATAATCCATCCCCACAGCTTCACACAAAGAGAAACCAAAATTCAAACGGCAATTCCAAACACTCCTCTCCTCGTGAAGGTGTACCTTCAGTTCTCGAATCTTCCGCAGCATCTTCGAGGGCCTATATTCCTGTGTCGTCGTTCGTCAGGGTATTAGTTTGTCGTCGCCTCGTTTAGACGCCATATGGCGTCGCGTCGCGTCGCGTCGCGCCGCGTCGTGGAGACCCTCATCCCCCGTCCCCGGGACATTTGGCTGGACGTAGCTACGATCCTCGGGGTCTTCCGATTACAGTCTCGAATCTGGAAGACGGATCCCGTAGCGATGGCAGCTGCCCGAAGGGTCCGCAGAGAAATCCCATACGACCACCGCTATGGCGGCGGCGAGGACCGGGATCTTCTCCCGCCGCTCGTAAACATCGTTCTATTCTCTCCGTTTTCAACCCTCTTCGGCTCGACTCGCTTCCGCCCTTCTTTCTTCCACGATTCCCCTGTTCCGCGGCCACTGATTTATTTCCGACCTCCGACGATCGGGGATCGCCATGGAATTACCCCTTTGCACTCGAGAGCCGACTCACGGTCGCCGTTTCCTCTCATGCGGAATTATAACATTGAATATTCACTGATCTAATCGGACGTATTCGGATAAAACACTGTTCCATTTATGTTTCACGGGATCTACGGTTTAACACGTCGAACGCCATGGGTCACCGGTGACCAACCAAATCGAATTACTGTAACTCGGTTGAACTGTGATTATTTGAATTTTTATATTGTAAAAAATGCTAATGCGGTGACTAGCTATGTGAACGTGCAATAATGCAAGTCAATCAAATGATTTAATATTTTCCCATTTTCTGCAGTTTGCTCCGTGAAATCACACGGCATTCAACGTGCTAATCAATCATTAAATATTTCACTAGAGTAATATATATAGAATAGAAACTCCTGAGTTCAAAGGGTTAACGCGTTGAGAACGTTGTACAGGACACGATGAAGATATAAAGTTATTTATTAATTTCGAAGTGTTCGTAACTTTGGAGTGTAGTTGACACAATAGTCTTAATTATCGAATTAATTTCTGTAGGAATGCATCTTCTGAAGTTCGATGTATCAGAGCATCTCATTCTCTACGAAATTCTCTTGACGATTTCATGAATTACAGCGAGGAGTTTAGAATCGATCGG